GGGAATGATGTTGTTAGCTCTGAATTAATTTGCTCTGTGAGTGTAAATCAGGCTCCTACTGTTATTTCGGTGAATTATTTTAAATGTAAATGCTACAGAGACAAATTAAATATGTGGATGTGGTACTGAAAAGGCACACTTGAAAGAGAGACACTTCAAATACACAAAAATTGTTCCCTTTGTCATTCCTATAATGTTCTTTTAATAAACTATCAATGGTCTTGGCTTTCAAAGCTGTCTGTAGTCATGGATTCCTGTCCCTGACTTACCCCTAAAAGCTGTAGGCTATAAGTCAAGTGAAAACAGATAACAGAAATTTTGGGGAAGCAGTCTCTAGCCCATTTTCCTTCAGTCCTGGGTCATTGTTCAGGCTTCTGACCCAAGCACATGGCTGGAGCTCCTTGCCAACGGGGAGCTTACTGGGGTTTATTCCAGCTGAGACAGAAACCTACGTGACTTTGAGAGATTTCTGTTAAGAGGCTGTACTAGATTTAGGGCTGCAGTGCCCAGCTGCTCTGAGGAAACTGTTCTAGAAATTTATTCTGTGTTTCTCCAGTGAGAAGCTGGGATCTTTGTGGCGGTAGTATTTTTTTTTTTTTTTTGGCCAACAACAACTTGTGTTAGCTAATTCCTGGCACTTGGAATGAAGTATGAAGCAGGTCCATCCTTTGAGAGAGGACTGAAGCTGAGACATGGCAAACAATGTCACCTGTATGAGGTGACACTACTCTTAACTGAACTCTGGACTATGGTTAATATTCATTTTCAGTCTGTGACCTTCAGTAGATCATCTAATCCCAACTTGTTTTGGTTTCCCACTGGTTAGATGAACACCACAAGTCTCCTCTTATTTTTCCCTCTCCACCATCTTCTGTTGGTTATTAAGATCGAGGCTATCCCAGTGTAGCCCAGCTGTTTTTTTCTCTAGTGTCAGACAGGCTTGATTGCAGCTCCCAAGAGTAAATGTCCTACCGTACAGGCAGCTGCCTGTATGCATTTCAAATTATCCAAACTCACATATAAGCAGGCTGTAGCTGGAGGCCCCTGGCTGGGGTGGCTGCGCTGTGCAGCGGCGCTTTATACTGCGGCTGTTGCATGGCTTGTCTCTCACTGCAGGCACAGACTGCTCTTCTGTGTGAAACCACAGGGCTAGTAACAGCTCCAGTGGCTTTCTGAGGAGATGGAGAGCTCTCCAACTGTGCAGAAGTACCTCTTATGGTTGCTTGGTGTCAACCTTTCATGTGCTTCCCTTCAGCAAGGTGGGGACACAGGCAGAGCCCAGCCAGGACCGTTCCCAGAGCTGAATGCGTATGCCTGCATCCCACAGCCCATTGGAAAGTGTAAGGGTGAACTTTATTCCTCTGGACCATTTCGATCAAGCTTTATTTGATTTTTACAGAATTCTTTCCTTTTGTTTTTGCGACTGTGCTGTCCACTCAGGCACTTAAATGCAGACCATTTGTGCCAGTCACTGTTTTCAGTGACATTTTTTGTATGACTTTTGCTGCTTCATATCCTCCAGATATTTCTTCATGGAGTCAGGCTCTTGACACCTAATTCGCTGTTCAAATGCATAAAAAAGGGTTTGTGCAGCATTCTTTCATGAGCCTCTATTGCTAGAATTATCCATCTGCTTTTGTACTTTAATTACATAAATCCTGAGCTTGGGCTTGGATTAACAACAGTATAAAGCAGAGTTCTAATAATTGCACAGAAGGCTGTAGTACTAAATGTTGGTGACAACCCCTCCCTGTGTTCCTATGTATGGGATTTGTTGCCATGTTTAGTGAAATTTATTATGACAGTCATATAAAATATGGAGAAATTTGCTTGAGCTAATTGGTTGCTTGGTGTTATTTTTTTGATAGAACATTGTTCTTTGGTGTTGCCTGATTGCCAGGGACAGGTCAGATCAGTGGTTTTGGTGAGACACGGAGAGGTCAACTGTGACCATACCAATGGATTTCAGTGTTAGAGATGAGCATTTGGGCGGGTGGGACTGAGGCATCTAAGTCAACTGCAGCTTAATAGTTGCCTGTCTGACTAGTGCTGTGCCGTTGAGGAAGCAGATAGACTATTTCAGCAATCTCTGCTAACTTGTCTTTAAAGATTTTTGTATAGTGCTTGCTTCTTTTCTACTTGACCTAGTTTATACTGTGCATGTTGAGTCACCACCTACATTAAAAGCCTTCATTCTCCTACTTCCTTGATGGATTTCTAGTGCATTGGGTCACCATTACAGACTACTGTTTGTTTATTTGTAATCATGTCTCCCATGTAAGCTGCTTCAGAGCAAGTTCTTATTTTTCATTAGTTTTATTCTTCCCTGGAACATTAGTTTGGGAGAACGTATAATGGTTATCTTGGGCCATTCTTCCTCAAGGATTGAGAACTTCTGTTTGACTGTGAACTGCGTTTTTTGGTGAAATATGTCCATGAGGACTTTTCTGCCAGGAAAACTAATCCAAAATGCAGTAGCAGGTTTTGAGACTGCAGAAAATTGATGAGCTTGGTAAGATCAGAGAAGAAAAACAGATCTCTAGTAAAAGCAAACACAGCTTTCAAGGCACTTAGCAGAGGTATAGAGCATTTTAAGTAATACAGATAAATATCTCCCTGGAGCTTTTGCTTTTTCATCCAAGCACAGAGCAGAGAACAAATAGGAAAAGGGGCGTGGGTGGGGAACAAAAGCTTTAAATATGTCAATGAACAGTTTTCAAGCTGAAAATTACTTTTAGCAGTGAAAATAGCAGAAGATATGCATAAGGCAAAAGCAATGAAGCCATGCATAAAATAGGAGAAAAGAATGACATCAGAGGGATGCAAAGAAAGTTTTGAATTAAGTGGCTGCTACTTTCTTCTAAATGATTTATTTTTATTTGTTCTGGAAAAATGTTTCTAATTTGTTTTTGTTGGTGTACTAATACACTGAAGTTGTTCATTACTATCAGACAAATGTTTTTCAAGACAGTGTATGAGCAAAAAGGGATACTTTAGTGCTCTTCTGAAAACCAAATTTAAGTGCAAACCATGGTAATTCTGCATAAACTTATAATATTGGTGGCATTCCAGATGTTTTTGAGTTTATAATAATGGGCTAGGTCTTGGCCCCAGAAGTGCTTTATATGTAATGTATACTACTGGCATGTATTCAGTAGAGAACTTCTATATAATGATATGATGTGTCACAGCGAAGCTATGAGAATGCTTGATTTTTTTGTGAAATGTCACTTAAAGTTGAATGGTTGGGTAGTTACAGACTTCCACAAAAAATTCTGCTTTAATCGTAAGCTCAGATGCACCTCCGTGTCCTGAACTGCCATTAATATTGAGTGGAATTCCAGGTTTAGACAATATGTCTTTGATATGTTGTGCATATTTATTGAATTCAGAGCATCAACAACAAATTATTTAGTTCAAAACCAGCTCATTTTGATGTCACGTTACCGCACTGAACTGATTGCTGCTACGCTGAATTTATACCTCACCATGTTATTAGAAGTAATCAAGTGATGCGGCCGTAACAAAACATCACATTTCATGAAAACATTGACAAGGACAATTTTTGCAGGTCTTGCTGTAATCTCTGACAGCACTTTATTTTGTATTACTGGGGAGCTTTGCTTTCAGGTAATAAGCTAGTGAACCCTTAGGCACTTTCTCTTGGCCCACTGACATCATTAGGTTCATAAGATGTACTTGCATTATGGAGTGACATGAGGGCTCAGGAGGAGGCCTGTGTCCCCAGACTCTGACTGGCGCTTTTCCTATCCAAGCTGCACAAGACCAAGCTCAAAGGTTGTTTCACCTGTTCTGCAAAAATTTTGAGTGTGATATCATGTGTAACTTGGACAGTCAAGACAGCTATCAGCACTCCTGGTGACAATATCTGTGTGTTCACTTCATTCAGTTCTACTACTGCAGCCATGTCAACTCCGTTAAACTAAAATTACTAGTTATATCAGCTGTCGTTTTCTGCATCATGTTTGTGTTAACTACTTCATACACAGCAATCTTTGTGAAGCCCACTTCTTTGTCATGGAAACTGTTGTTCTAGCAGTTGCTAATCCAGATGAATATGTCAGCAAATGGTTTCTTTAATCATTGACGTTTTCACAGATTTTGAGAACAGAAAGTTTATGCTCAATAGCCTATACAGATATGGGATGAATGAATGATTGGTCAACATGCCACTGAAGGGAATTTGCTAATTCCTTGAGGAGACCTTAGGAAAAGGTTCCTGCCCATGAAACAGATAAAGTTCCATTTTCTTATGTGCAAGGAGTATAAAATGCCATATTTTTATTTCTCTCAGATTTATGCTTATATCTTGACACTTCAGTGCTTGTTCTAGCTACAGACTGCTAACCTTCAATTATCTGCAGTTTATCTGGGGCTGTGCTGATCAGAATGGCCCTCCTGTGGTAATAATGGATACTTCTGTAGCAAACACTCTCTTAGGCAACAAAAAGGGTTCTCAGATTAAATAAATGTGCGGACAAAGAGGAAGGTGAATGTTTTTCCCAAAAGCTGTTTCCGTAGTCTGATAGGATTTGGTAAATCATAATCATCCAGGTATAAATTGGCAGGCATGAACTTGTTACCTAGTCAAGTTTCTCGTCAACACAGCAATGTCATAATGAAATCACGTTTGCATCATCTTTGCCCTGCACCTTTTTTTCAGAGCCTGTTTTCTTATTCTCACTTGATCTTCTTTCTGCAACATGCAGCAGTTGTTGAATTTTTTAAAATCATACTTTCCAGTTTAGAAAAAGACACAATCATATATATGGTAACAAAACATGAATGGAGAAAAGTTATCTGAAAAATGGGCATGCACCGGGCTGGAATTGTGCCCTGAAATTGCCTATATAGTTTCCTTGTCTTTTTTCTTCTATGCTGTGTTATAGTGTTCCTCACCCCAGCCAAGCTCATAGACTTGATGCAGTCCTGCTGAGGATCTTGTGGTCTAAACGGATTTGTTCTTTTTGCTTTTGCAGTGATTGCTGATGGGGCGCTGGATAAGACAGCTCTGACAGACGATGTGGGAAGCGAGGAGGACCTGTATGAGGACTTCCGGAGCGCCAACCACCGCTACGGCCACCCTGGGGGAGGCGGAGAGCAGCTCGCCATCAATGAGGTATGGTGCTGATCGGTCCTGACAGGCAGGACGAGGAAGGGTGCCGGCTCCTGTCGTGAACCGTAAGAGAGGTCAACCACCAAAGTCGTAATGGCAAAGCGGGTGGGACTTCAAATGTTTTTTACTGTGGGTACTTCTTAGAACTTGGTGATGGCAGGGTCTGGGCCTTCCATCAGGGCACTGTCCCCAATAGCAGAGGACATCAGTGTAATGCTCCTCTTAAGTGTTTTTGGACAGCAAGTTTAAAACCATTAACAAGCTGCATTGTCAGGGCTGGTGTGAGACTTGAAATGTGGTCTACTGAAGGCATAAAGGAAACGTTGGAGAAAAGTTCTGGTCTACATATTTCTTTACTGGTAGATGAGAAGTGTGCAAAGTTTAATGTAGGCTTGGTTTTTGCTGCTTCTTCCTGTTCCCCAGTAAATTCACTATATGGATGAGAAAAACACGCCTTTTTAGTCAGTGCTTTTAGCTAATTATAGTGCTGACACTGATTAACTTGAGATCAGCATTTAAAAAATGTACTACCTAAACTGATGTGATGAGCAACATATTAACAGGATTTAAGATGTTTTTTCTGCAAAAATACAATGGCTTTTTCTAATGCATTAGAACTGGTGCCCTGTTATACACATTATGCTTTTTTGGTGGGGTGAACTAATAAGCTTTTTCACTGGAAGAGTGGAGCTTGTTTACCATAGGAGTGATCTCTTGCACTCTCACACCTTCTTTCTCTCTTCCCTATACTCTGTTACCTTTACATGACCTTCACAAAATGAGAAGGCAAGGATAAAAGATGTATTGTATTTTCTTACGGCTAAGCTATAACTGAAACAATGTTGACTGAGGCTCTGTGCCTGTATGCTTGATATGTACGGTGATGGTGCTTCTGGGGTCTGCAAAAGCCTCAGAAAGCTGCACAGTATGGATAACAACAACAGCAAATGCTCTTCTAGCAGTTTTCCTGCTCCTAGTACTCAGAATTCCTCACTACAGCCCTGGGGTAAGGGAGAGACTTGCTATATTTTCTTTCCCTATTGCTTGCATCCAGGGGTTATCAAACTATGGCCAGAGCTTTTTGATTTAACCTCAGCTATTTTGGGCTGTTGTCACTGGCAAGCAAACATTCCTAGAACACCAAAAAATCCTGAGTTGTGTTCTCCCATATTTACCTGGTATGTTTGTGAGAGAGTCCCAGGCACCACAGGAGTCAGTCCCATAGAGTGTACTGAGGGCGTGGGAGGAGGATTGTGCTTCCCTCCAGTTCAGGTGCTTGCCTTGGTAAGTCTTCTTATCCTAAGTCATCTTGTCTCATCAACCAGAACATCCTCTGGATTTTTGTTTCCTTTTTTTTTTAAGGAAAAAGGCAAAATAATTTACTTTTCTAAAGGAAATCTTTACAACTCCTTAAAATCAGGAAAAAAAATAAGATATACAGTGGGTCTGTATATCCATCATGTATGTTGTGGTTTTCTCTTTCATCATTCATTATTATTGGGAATAATCGTTTTCCTTTATTTTCTTAAAAGTTCATTTTATTAGAGTAAAATTCCATCATTTAACTTCTAATAAGGAAAGCAAATGAATGTGTCCAAAGCAGGTGTAATTTGTATAGTCTTTGAAGCATATGTGGGGTTTTTTTGGCCAGTTGACTGGAAGAGAAAAAGGTTATTCTTGGCTTGTTCTCTAGAAGCTTGCCTGTTCAGGGGCCAACAAAACTGTAAGAACAGGCAGTACATTATTTACTTTGTCAACTGGTTCCTGCAGGTAATTAATCCATCACTTAGCTTCACTGAGCCTTAGCAAAGTGCTTTCTTACACAATCACTTCCTGGAACAAAAGACTACAGTAAAATACAAAATCTCTGAGGTGAAATACTAAATCTGTGAGGTATGGATTTCACATGAACAGTCATCGTAAGTGTTGGAATTGAAATCTCTCAAATAACTGGCGATCAAACAAGCTTATCTTCATCTTCCCTGCTGGACCAAAATCTGGGTATTGATTAGTCTTGAGTATTTTCCGTAGTAGTGCTTGGAGTGATATAGGGTGATGATGTCAATGTCCAATAATTTAGTCGTATTTTGTGAGTAGTCTCGTCTGTTTTATTGTATTCCAAATTGTGTTTTATTGGTCGTGGATAAGGAAACTATGGTAACTGCATTATTCTTAGCCTTCTTGGAAGAAACAGCTTTCAAATAAACAGAGAAGGTTGAAATACATTTTTAAGGCATTTGGCGCAGACCAAGTGTTGTATTAAAAACCAAAACACCCAACCGCTGACTTTTAGTTCATTTTGGATCAAGAGAAAATGGTTATGAAATAAAAGAGAAACTTTCATAAAACTTGAATAATTTATTGGCAAGAAGACTCGAGGGATAAAAGAAAGCTGGGAAGGTTGTATAGAGCCCACCTAAGAAGATCAGCATGAGAGTATGTAAGAGCCAAGAAAAATCAATCAAAAAGTAATAATAAGGGTTTGGGATGAGAAAAGAGGCAAAGAAAGTCATTTTCTTGGGGCATCTGTTCGACATTCTTTCAAATGCATTCTTGATGCTCATGAAAAGAGATTTTTGTGTTTAGATTGTACTTGGTGGAATTTGCTTTTTGTTTGTTCCAGATGAAGACCCTATCCTTGTACATTTTTGCTTCCACAGTAAAATTAGGTAAAATGCAGCAAGAGAAAAATACTAAAAATACTGTAAATGCATTGTGGTTCTGTCCTTCCAGTGCAGAAAGAAATATTATGTGTAGGTCAGACATAGCTTCAAGATGCTTGAAATGTGTTATATGTAGACTGAAGTCGAGAACATGAGGGATTAAGCATATAAAAATCCTGCCTGCCCAGCTCTTGAGCAATCATGGTGATAAGGAGGAAAACTATCAAGTAATTGGCCTCGTCAAGTAGGCTTAGTCCTGTTTGCTTGGAAATATCTGATGTGTACAAAGGGTTTGTTCTGTCCTGCTGTGCAAGAAGGGTCCATATGGCTCTGTACTTCAGAAGAAATGCTATTGCAGTTCAACATGTGGAGTGTTTAGCCCCTTGCAGCTGTGGATGAACAGTACTGTCCCCATCTTGTGAAATCAAAGCACTAAACGTTTGGAAAATAACAGCAAGACTACCTATTTTTTCCTTATCTTTTATGGCTCTATGTTTGATAAGTTTGGAATTTGGTATGTAAAGTCTTGTTTCTGAGGAAATGCACTACTCATTGGCTTCAGCAGGCCAGGATTTTATCTAAGACTTCTAACACCATTGCCTTATGTCTTAAAGTGACAATACTGTAGTATGATACAGATGTTTGTGCTAACCAGTGTTTGTTGGCAACACGCAGTTAAGCTAATTGGTTCCAACATATGTGTTTCTGATGTAACAAAGTAATTAATACAGAAAAATGTTCAGGAAGTGGTGCAAACCAATACATCTGCCATGTACCAAAGGTGGCAGATATTGTAGCAGTCCTCTCTGTCTTACTGGGCAGCGTACAGCTGGGACTGTTGAGTCACTAAAGCATTATTTTTGTGCTAAACTCTTTGATCTCTCCCTGGGAATTTGTTCTAGGCTCACCCAGTGCTCCTCCAAGCACAGCCAATTTTAAACAAGACAGACGCATAAACTGTTTTTTCAAAAACAAACAAGAACCCAAAACAAAACCCCAAACTCATAAAATGTTAATGCAGATGAAATCAGAAGAACATATTCTAATTTTGTTAAACATGAATAATATCTTTCTCAGCATTTTTTGCATTATCTATGTACATTCCAATTAATAGAAATACCTTCTGTACTATATCAGGACAAATTTCAGAAGACAGAAAAAATATAAAATAGTGCCACAAAATGGTATCGTCCTTTTTTTAAGAGTACAGAATAGGTTGAAAATTCTATAGTCACAGCAGATTTCCAGACTGAAAACAGAATTTAAAATTATTGATCATATGGAAGTAATATATAACATTCCTGTGTAAACTGGGAGAGATTTATTGCCACTTTTATGTCTTAATGTGAGTATATTGCTCTCCCAACTGACACTAAAGCAAATAGAAACCAGTTAACAAATACCCCCCCTTTTTTAGTTTTTTCCAAGGGCTTAATTCCTGCTTTTGTGTCTCAAGTATTTCTGCAACCAAGGCTGACAACTGTGGTCCAGAAGCAGCAATTACGATTTATTTGCAGAGTCCTGTATAAAGCTCAGTGGTGTCAAGGACAAGAAATAATGTTCCCCCATGGACATAAATCTTTACTGGATCCAAGTTTCAGGTTCCAAGTGCTGGCGTAACTTTGTATGGGGCTCAGATGTGAATGTTCAGAGTATGGAGTCAGAACTGTAACTTCTTTTACAGCTTCGTGGATTTAGTTTTTACAGCCTGCAAACTTCTAAGGTCATTTCAGAGGGCTTTTTTGCAATGGATTTAAAGCAAATAAGTATATTCAAATACTCTGTAGCAATTATGTCTCATCAAACATCAGGATCAGGATCTAAGTGGTCCCAGGGGTTGCCAGAGCCCTATTTCTGCCTTCTACCATGGACATCTGGGGCCGCTCTGAGCCACTTTCTCATGTCCTTGTCAGCATTAGGACACGGCCATCCCCTGACCAAGGGATCCTGCTCCCGCAGGCTGAAGATGAAGAGAGGGTGATGGAAGCCAGTGTAGCTCGCTCAGCACTGTGGATTATCCTTATTTGGAGAAAGACTATCTTGGAAGTGGGTGTTGGGAGTTTTTTAGAAAGGTGGGAGAAATGGGGTAAGATTTCACACTGGCTGTCATGCGGTGAGCCCTTGGCAATCCAAGTGCCTGTTCCCACACGTACATGTGAGGTGGGGGGGTACATAGCTCCCATATCATGTAGTCTGTGGTCTGTAGCATATATTCAGACCACCAGCAGGACTCAATCCATGTAGAAGCATTTCTATAAAATAAATAATTTTTTGCTAGACCCATGTTTTCTCTGGATAGCCCTATTAATCTGATACTCATTAGGAACAAACAAAAAAAAC